AGATGTGATCAGGATGTGGGCTTCCCTTTTCACACTTTTATTACTTAACCCAGAGTAACTTTCACTGGTGTTGTCTGTTTTCCTGGCATATGGTAATTGGTATTGGTTTTTGCCTTTGTTTTGGTGTTTTATAGAGTGTGATTGTAGCTTGTCTATATGGCAGCAGTTGCTGACTCCTCTTGTGTAATTTATGGAGACAAAGAGTCCTCCAAAGGTCAAAGGGGGAGCATAAAGTAGCAAAATAGCACCAGCAAAATAATAATAATAATAATACAAGAGAGAAAATAAACTAAAAACAAACAAACAACAAACAACAACAACAAAAGCTAGACTGAATACTGCAGTCTATAATCACAGAAAAAGGAAAGGAGGGAGAGAAGGAAAAAAAAAAAATCTGTAGCCTAATATGAGTATGAGTTTAAGGTCCTCTCTTCAGCTTCTTGCTTTCAAAGCTGCCTGAGAGATTTCAGATGCCAGTGTTGGTTTTTATTCTATACCTCAGGCTTTAATTTAATTTTTGGCCTGTTTTGTTTTTAAATGATCTTTTCCTCTCTACAGCCCTGTCCTGCCCTTTCCTATTTAAAAAAACAAAACAAAAGACAGACAAGCAAAAAGCCTTAAGGGCCTGATCTTGGGTTGAGTATCTGTGCACATGTGTGGCAGAAGAACCCACCAGTGGTGAGGGTGGGGGGTGTTCACTCACTCAGGCTCCCCCTCTAGTCACCAGAATGGAGGTGGGCAAACAGTGGGCATTCTAATGACCCAACACACACAAAAAAAAAAAAAAAGAAAGAAAGAAAGGAAAAAGAGAAGAATATCAGAACAACAAAACTGACAAAGTCCACCTTTGCTCCAAGGTTCCCATGGCATTTTCCCATGGTGTTTCTGCTCCACTGTTAGGCTTGTCATTTGGTCTCTCAGAATATGTCAGCTCCGGGCCTCCGAGCCCAGCCCGGCAGATTCAAAAGTACGCGATTTTTTACTTCAGCTTCAAGTTTCACAATCTGTAGGCCTTCAAACCTTCAAAATATTCTTATCTCTGTCGTTCTGAGTTTTGGAACTCTGCCCTGGATCTGCTTTGCCTGGTATTCTGTGGTATTGCTGACAGTGAACTTCACTGCACCTCTACCCTAGCCACCATCAAGCCCCACCTCAGTAACAATATTTTTAAAAGAAACTTTTACCTTGCTTCAAGTATCAGTCCAAATTTTTATTTTCAGATGTCTGTATGCTTCTGTTTATGATCTGTGATTTTTTTTGGTATCCATCTTACATAAACTTTCCAAAACCCAAGTCTTTTATGGATTATTTCAAAAACAGAGCCATGGCTGATTTACAAATGATTTGCCACACAATCCACTGTCACTTGTCTACTCAACAGGATTGTTTCACATGCACTCTCAATGTTGTCATCAACCATGAATGTGGATGGGTGTTTTAATATAACCAGAGTGCAGATAATTTTTGACTCACTCTCATTGTATTGACAGATTTATCTTCAAGGTAACTAATTCAGGGTTCCATTGATTCAGATATACTCCTTTTCCCTTCCAGTATATTGTCCATTTCTGAGACCTTAGTATTAATCTCCTGAATTTCTATCTGTAGGTTTTGTATTGTTTCAAAATTTATAATTTTTTTGGTCTATCATTGTAACATTTTCCTAAATTTTTCTGGTTTTTTTTTTTTTTTTTTTTTTTTTTTTTTTTTTTTTTTTTTTTTTTTTTTTTTTTAGTTCTTCTTGATTTTCTTGATCTATGTGTCAGTTAGTTGAATGTATCTAAATATCATTATTTTGAATTCTTTCTCAGGTAGTTTCATTATCTTTTTTCCCTCAGAAACATTTTCTGGCTCTGCATCTTGGTCATTTGTTTGAGTCACTCTCTCTTGTTTCTTTGTGTGAGCTAAAATTGTCTCTGAGACATTGTGGTGTCATTGTATTTGTATTTACTTTGATTTTATGTTTGATATTCTTAGGATCTTGCCAACTGTCTTCTGGAAGCTTGTGCACCATTTTCCACCCACCATTTGTGTAGCTTAGTTTACAGTGGATTGTGGCTGATGGTATATGAGCTGGAATTGGCTCTCTTCCAGTGAGTGGTGCTGCAGAGGGTATGGTTGTGGTTTAGCTGTACAGACACCGTAGCTTTCTCCTGTCTAAAGGGGCTTGAGGAGAACACACACACAGGAAACCAAAATGGAAAAAATGAGCAGGTAAGCAATAGTGAAAACAATATAATAAAGGAGAAAAATTAACAAAAACAGTCAGCATCAAGAAAAAAATAAGATAACTAAAAAGAGAAAAGATGGACAGGAAAACAGAGTTGTATAAGACAAAAATAAGAGGAAACATAGAGAAGTGAAAAAAAAACAAAAGGAAGATGAAGAAAGGAAAAGACTTTTCTGAGGTCTTTTTGCACTGTCAGGCTGCTGTTTGTCTCTCCAAAGCTGCTAGAAAATGTTCAAGTCTGTCCAGGAGTCCATTCACCACCCGGCTCAGCTTCTCCTCCCAGTAGGTATTCAATCTTCTTCTCTAATCTTTCCTCTGATGCTCAGGGTTCCAGGTTTGTCCTCTGTGTTTGTTTCATTTGATCCCATATGTTTGTTGTAGAGGTTCTGTGTAAGTGTGTCTGCCTAGTCTGCCACTTTGCCTGAAAGATGTTAACTTTATGGTTATAAATTAGCAAGTAAATTATTCTTAGTTAATATAACTAAAGACAACGCTTTCAAAAATTTTGAGGGAGTATAAGAGCAACTTCTTATAGCAGTTGCTAAGAATAACAATTAGAGAACAAAATGAATGGTGAATTCCTGGTTTCATTTCTTACTAGGTGAAAAGGCTTACAAAACAATTAGCTTGAATGACAAAGAAAAAATGATAATAATTGATTATGAACTTTAATTTGATTACAGAGAGAGAAGAATTCTGGGAGCAAATGTGTGATCTCCATGACTTCCAGGACCACCACAACTATACAGGACCCCAAGAATCCAGAGCATGTAAAGATATTTACTTTTGACCTGGCCTATTGGTCTCACAGTGGATTCCAAAAGGATAAATATGGTGTACTTATTTCAGCTGAGCCTAACAGTAACTTTGCAAGCCAGGTAAATTACTTAAAAACGTAATTTCTGTGTGCATTAGAGCTTACATTTGAAGGAATTTAGTTTGTGGAAGGCTGTGGTCTACAATGGTTGTTGTTATTGTTAAGTGCCGTCAAGTCAATTCCAATCTATAGCGACTCTGTATAGGGTTTCCAAGGAGCAGCTGGTGAACTTGAACCGCTGACCTTGCAGTTCAAATGGCTTTGCAATGATAGGCTTATCTAAATCCATTTGGAATTTTGACATAAGTTCAGAGACCATTAAACAAGCAGTGTTTTCATGCTTAGACAATCCAGGGCAAGCCCCGGGACGGGCAGCTTTGCCCTTACGCTTACTCACACACACAAAAAGCAGGAAATTTGCCTGGGTATATCTTTAATGATTTATGGACAATGGCCATATAAGTTAAAAGTTATGGTTCTAGTGGTACAGGGGCACTGGTCATAAGTCATGTCTCAACCTCCATGTGACCAGATGGTCAAAGTCCCAGAACTAATCCTGTAAATTTTTAAAATCTGAAATTGTGTAGGCATCCCAATTATAGTTCTTTCCCTACTTCTATAGTCCCACCTGTAACAAAGATGAATTGATCTGCTGTCAGTCATAATTTTGTGATGATTTCCAACTTCTGTAATTAGCCTCAGGACTGTGGTGGCTCTGTATGATAAGCAGCAAACTGCAGTTGGCAGTTTCAGCCCACCAGGTCTCTGGGGAGGGGGGGCGTGGCACGTGCCACATGTTATGGTTTTCTGTTCCCTCAAAGATTTATAACCTTGGAAACCCTATATAGGGTCACTCTGAGTTGGAACTGACTAACGATGCTTAACAACAAAATAATTAAACTCATGGCCATGAATCAACAGATTCCATTTCCGCCTCATGCTGATGGTTTCCCTCATCCAGAGATTGTTTTTGTTTTGTCTTTGTCCTATTTACAACAGCAAAAAGGGCCTCTATAGAATATAGCATTTCTGGTCTGAAATGCCATGTTTGGTCACAAATTCCTTGAGGTTCGGTGAGTCTGTCAATGAAGTAATAATACTCCATAGATAACCACTGGACTGGGAATCATAAGATCTGCAAGTCACTGGGAGTGGGGGTAAGGTGGTGGGATGGTTGGGGACAGGGGAGGGGATTTCTGCTCCCCAAAATATGTATTTTTAAAGCCTTGGAATCTCTATACAGGGTCACTATGAATGGGAAACACTCATCAACACTTAGCAATAGAAGATATTTTAATCTGTGGTAATTTCTCCCTAGAACAAGACATAGTGGTTTTTTTTGTTGTTTTTTTTTATGAATATATAATGGCATAGTACAATGATTTTTATGCAAGCATGCTACATCATTTGCTTCCTTATGAGAATCTGGTACTTGTTTCTACTTTTTAAAATAGTGTTCAACATGAGATTCACAAATGCAACTTGTTGCTTGATCATCAGACACCCAAATCAGTTGACTTGCCATGTACTGACATACTTTGAAAAATGAATGGCAGTCAAGTTAATTATATTTTGTCTCTCTGATCTAACCAAAATTTTTGAGACACTCAGCATTTGAAAACATTTTTTAATCAAGTATTTATTATGTACCATGTACTGTTACAGCTCTTTCTTCAAAATCTGATATGAAGAGACAGACATATAAATGCATTCAAATATTACAGATTCTGTGATAGGAATTTTTATAGGTTCCAATGAATTACAAAGGGGAGGTGGTCATTTCAATCCAGGCAAAAAGTATTTCAGTTACATTTTAATAAAGACTGTGGTGCTTGGAAAAGAGCCCTGATAATGTAATGGGTTGGTAACTGTTGGGCTGCTAACCACATGGTTAACAGTTCGAGTCCACCAGGTGTTCCACAGGAGAAAAGATGAGGCTATCTGCTCTCATAAAGATTTACGGCCTCAGAAACCCTATATGGGTCGCTATGAGTCCAAATCGACTCCACAGCACATCATGGTACTTGGACTGAGTTTCATAAAAGGAGTAGTAAGACAAAGAGAGAAAAAGAACCTTGGTTACCTGTGAGACAATGTCAAACATATGCAACTGAAGTCACAGAAGAAATAAGTAAGAACAAAAAATATATGAAGCAATGATGAATGAGACTTTTCCAAATTTGATGAAAACTATTATCCCATGTCCACTACTCGTCTGTCAGTTTGTCATACCGTGGTGGCTTGCATGTTGCTGTGATTCTGGAAGCTATGACAATGGTATTTTAAATACCAGTAGGGTCACCCATGGTGGATAGGTTTTGGCTAAGCCTCCAGATTAAAACAGGCTAGGAAGAAGGGTAGATGGACTACTTTAGAATATTTAGTCATGAAAACTTTATGAATAACAGTGGAACACTGTCAGCACCAGACTAGGAAATATTAAAACATGTTGAAGACCACTAGAATATTGTCAGATATAGTATCAGAAGATGAGCCCCTCTGGTTGAAAGGCTCTCAAAATACAACTGAGGAAGAGCTGCCTCCTCAAAGTAGAGTCGACTGATGATGCAAAGGGAGTAAAGCCTTCAGGATCTTCTTTTTCTGATGGGGCACAACTCAAAATGAAGAGAAACAGCTGTAAGTATCCATTAATAATCAGAACATGGAAAGTATGAAGTATGAATCTAGGAAAATTAGAAACTGTCAAAAATGAAATGGAACACATAAACATCAATATCCTAGGCATTAATGAGCTGAAATGGATTGGTATTGGTCATTTTGAATCTGGCAATCACATGGTTTACTATGCCAAGAATGACAAACTGAAGAGGAATGGCATGACATTCATCATCAAAAAGACCATATCAAAATCTGTCTTGAAGTACAGTGAAGTCTGTGATAGGATAATATCCATCCATCATTTCTATCACCAAAGCCACATTTTCTAAGTACTGATCCTTCCTCTTTGTTTCCAACTTTTGCATTCCAATTGCCAGTAATTATCAATACCTCTGGATTGCATGTTTGATCAATTTCAGACTGAAGAAGTCAGTAGAATTCTTCAATTGAATCATCACTGTCTCTAATGGTTGGTGTATAAATTTGAATAATAGTGGTATTAACTGTTCTTCCTTGTCAGCATGTGGATACTATCCTATCACAGTGTTATACTTCAAGACAGATCTTGATCTGTTCTTTTATTATTGTTATTATTAATGTTTTATTGTGAATTATATGATAGCTTACGTTAGATTTACATTCTTCTTATTGTGTATCATTTTATTGCTATGGTTACAAACCCTCCATGCATAATCAACCAACCAAAGGGTATACCCTGCAAGCCTGACCCCTGGTCATCAGCACATAGCTGCTCTCCTTCTCTGGGTCTAGAGTCCCCAGCCTCTCCATCCCTCCATGTCATCGTCTCTGCCTCCACCTCTGGCATCACTGCTTCTCTGGGTAGGGTCCTGCACTTTCCACTCTTCTCCTTTGATGGTCCCAGGGACCTCCGCTCGTGGACTGCAAAGTAAATCACTCCCCTCCTTTTGCTACAAAAATCCACCTTTACATTTCAAACCCTCACAGTCAGTCCCGATAGCAAGTATTCACTATTGTGGCACATGAGTACTATCCCCATCTACTTTCATCAGCCCCACCAAAACAGATTGGATACTACTTAGTGGAGATTCTACCCTCCTCCATTCCCTCAGGATCTAGACTCCCCCTTTAAAGCTTGTAAGCCAGCCATTTCTTGCCTTTGTGGTACCCCTGTTTTGGGTAGCCAATGTCCAAGTAGCCCATCCCTGTCTACCCTGTGTATTGAGAGGGTGGGAATGACCCTTGCCTTAAAGATTTGTTCTCTCTTTTGAGCTACTGCATCCATAGGTGTAGGTCAAGTTCTTCAAATTGTATCACATCACTCTTTTTTTCTTCTTTTTCTTCTAGTTAGGTTCTGATCATCCAGCCATTGAAGTCAGATCAAGTGGGTATTATCTGCAAGTGTGGGTGTTCTTGTGCATATGCCCTCTCTTCCTATCAGCTGGACACTTCACTCTCCACTCTAGTCCTCTGTGGCTATGTCACTGACTCTGGGCCCAGGAGTCCCCAGGTTTTGCCATACTGATATTGTTTTTCCCTCACTTCCCCTTATCGGTGACCACATTCACCAGTCAGAGCATGTGTCTGCTCGTGTATTCCCATTGAGTCTTAGTCATGGAAGGAAGTTTGCCCTGAGGGGACCCAACCACTGCCTTGATGTCTCCTGGGCAAGCAACTTGCTTATTCTTGTAGTAGTCAGTCAGACTGCCATTATTGTTTTGTATTTTTCCTGTTGGTCTTTCTTTTAAGAAGTATCTTCTGTTCTTCTAGCTGCTCTGGGCTGGTCTACTTGTCCTTTCCAGCGGAAATTTCCCACCTCAGAAGATTCTGGATGGGGTTAAGGATTCCACCTATAGTCTTATGTAATGCAGAGGCTCCACAGGTAGCCTACTTCACTGGGCTTGTTGTAGCCCCATTTTAGGTATTCCAATGAGTTATAAGCAGAAGATAGACTTACAAGCTTTCTATGGTGATATTTCTGGCTATTCCTTTATCTCCCTCCTCAAGTGTCTATTTTATAATGGTATGCATCTTAACATTATTTCCCCCCTTTTGCCTATTCCAACCATGTCTCAATCCTTGTATCCCAGAGCCCTGTTCCAAGGTTGTGCATACATCCTTATTTACCTCTATACCACTAAGCCCAAGCAAACCTGCCTAATTTTTTTCCCATTCACCATGTTCTTCAATTCCTCTTCCCCTTCTTGTGTATTGCCCCCTCCCCAGCACCCAAACTATCCTGTGTCTATTCCCTACTCTATGCTCCACCTTCTCCTCCTTCCCGTACCCCTCTACATCCCAGTAGCCAGCAAAGAACCCCCCCCCCTTTAGTATGGGTTCTTTTTTTTAGTCTTTTACAGTAGTGGTCCTGTGCAGTATTTCTCTTTTTATGACTGACTAATTTTACTCAACACAATGTCCTCAAGGTTCAACCATGCTATATGATAGCTTACAGCTTCCTTG